AGCCGCTGCTGGTCAGTTTCAGCAGTGGCTGAATCAGGACGCCTGGGACAGAGCAGCTGGGGCACTGCTGGGTTGGTCCCGCAGCACCGCTCCTCGGCGCTACTGGTCAGTTTCAGAGAAACTGACTGCTGCTGGTCAGCCTCAGAGAAAAGCCCAGTTTGTAAGTAGGGATCCGACCTAAGTCGGATCCACGTAACCTGGGGACAGCCTGTATTCCAAAATAGCTTATTTCAAAATAGCACGTTTAACACTGCAGGCGAGCCTCAAAATTAATCTGAGGCAGGCTTCCTGAATGTTGACATGCTATCTCGATTTAGAACCCCAGGAGGAATAACTTAGAATAGCCCTGGTGAGAGGCTATTTCGAAACAGAAAAATTGGTGCATCTACACAGCCCCTATTCCGAAATAACTATAACTATTTTGGAATAGGCATTATTCTTTGTAAAATTAGGTTTACAGAAATCGGAATAAGCTGTCCATTATTTTGAAATTATTTTGAAATAATGGAATTGCTGTGTAGACACTCACAGTTATTTTGGAATAACAGCTATTATTCCAAAATAACTTTGCTGTGTAGACACACCCACTGAGGCCATCCAAATATTTGTTGTCAGAGCCCCTACCTTAGGGATAGAGTAAGCTGCTTCCTCTTGATCTACAAACTCAGAGTTCCCCTATTATAGCATTGATGCTTGACTACTGGCCCAGATGTTGTGAAATGTTTTAATCCCGTAACTTTGTGACAAACCCTAAATTGATGGAAGTTCATAAAGTCTAAGGAATATTTAATTCACTTTATTTCATAATATATAAAAATATAGTTTTTCAGGTGTTCGAGGAGAAAAAACCATTACAGAAAATGCATGTCTGGGTAGAAAACTACATATGTTGTGACAATTAGGACTCTGCTGACCCTATTCTATTTGGGAGTTCATAATTTTTTCCTGTCTCGGTGTTGTCTGGTTCAGGAATAGGTAAGCCAAGAATATCAGCAGTAAATATCTCTGCTGTGATTTCCTCTGGAATTTCTTCTTCAATCAAAGCTGCTGCACCTGGAGGGGAAAAAATAAACAATCCAACAATCCCCAAAGTAATCAGGTTTCCAGATCAATAGGATTTGTCAGCAGCGGAGTGTTGAATGGAATGTCTAAAAAATACATCAAAGGGGCCTTATATAGTATCAGTTTAATACTTAATATATCCTCTGTCAGGAAACAAAGGCACAGATCCTGTGAGGTACAGCACATCTTCAACTCCAACAGAGAACGAGATCTAAATTAAATGATCGATATCACTACAGTTGTCTATGCCATCTCTGACTCCTCTAATTCTTTATGGCTTTTTTCCTGTTATTTATCCATGATTTTCTTGAAGATGGTTACAAAGCCATTTTGAACATGCTGTATTTTGAATACTGTTATACTTATTACTGAAGACTCTAGTCAATAGCTTTAATAACAATATTTTCTCTTTCAAGTAATTCAGGAACAAAAGAATACATTTAGGCCCTGATCCTTATAAAAGGTGAATTGAGATCTTTTCACATCTATGCAGAATGGATTATTTCTTGATGGGTAAGATCTCAGCCATCTGTAAAACCTACACCCCGTAAATTGCACAATACTCATTGTATCTTCTTCCGAAGGACAAAGGTCTGTTTCTATCCTACTGTGATGTGATTTGAATCTAAAGTTCCAAGGAATGCAGGTGTTTCAAATTCGGGGGTTATATCACTAAGCTGTTTTCTCCTGGAGATGCACCTTGAGTAGGCATACATCAGTCATGGAAAATCCTAATGGATGTTATTCTAGACACTTAGAGCTTGGGACCCATGTTTCAGAAACTCCTTGAATATAGCAGAAGAAAGGGGTTCCAAGTACAATGGACAGCTCTGCAAGGAGCTGAAAAGAATTTGCATATTATAGGATTCTGCTTTGCCTGTGGATCACAACAATGGGTTAGCTGTCCAGCAAAATGTCTCGTTTTTATTTCTAGCCAGCAGATAAACAGTAAGGTAATGTAGCCAAGTTACATTTTGTTGGGTATATCTATATCTATATCCAGAAAGATATAGATATATAGTGAGAGATGAGGTTCTACAGTAGAGCTTTTCCCCAATAGAAGTGGAAGTTAAGTGCATGGTCCAAGGACTGTATTTGGCCCTGTGACTATATTTTACAATCCCAGATGAACATTTTTAACAGCTATTAGAGCAACAAGGTTAATAGGATTTGTATTTGAATTATTATATGAAAGAAATTGAAGCAATCCTATTTCTGAATTTCATAAAACATTAATCTTGTACCTGAGGGATCATAGGTGCCCTGCTCAGATATCTCACCCTCTGGATTCCTGCCCAACAGAGTAGTAAGACATTCTGCCAGCTCCTCCTCTGTCATATGCTCTCCTGCACATGTAATACAAACATACAATCTCTAAGCTTTGTCACAGCATCATTAACACAAACTCGGCACAAACATCTCTAGCAAGAATTTCATAAGGACAAAATAGGATGGTTTGGGTTCCTCTGTGGTGTAGCCCATACCACCATTCAGAATGCATGATCCACCATTCAGAATGCAAGAAATCTGATCCAAGAGAAATTTGTTCTTCTGAATTACATGAGTTTTTGCTATATCAAATAAGATTTGTAGGTGTGGGAAAGGCTACTAAAGTTGGCTTGCTGGTCCAAATTGTACCTACATCTGTTCCTTTTCACAGGAACTCCCAGATCAGAGCAGTGTTCTACTGGAGTGTCCAGCAACAAAGTGACTCATGTGAAGGTGCAAGAAAAGTTAGTCAACTATTACAGAATAGCCTGCACATAGGAGTTTGTTCCTAATCTGCATCAGACAGGGATTGATGATCTGAAGCATGAGGATTTATATCCCTTTTAAAAACATTTTAGCCTATGTCATGTATCAGTGGATCTTCTCCCTCATACATTTAAGTGTCCGTTTTAACCTCCTATTAAACCCTTTACCGCAATGGTACCATATGGTAATGCATTCTACAGGTTGAGAGATAATGTGTTGATTAAAACAGTATTTCCCCTCATTCATTTTAAATGTACTGTCTTTTAGCTGAATTGAGTGCTTCTTGTTCTTATAATAAGAGAAGGAATGTAGAAATGCCTAATTTACCTTCTCTGTGCTAATGCCATTAACAATTTTTAATATCTGTATCACGTTCCCTCTCAGCCTCTAAACTAAACCATCACAAAATTTTCTCTCTCTCCTCATATTGACATTCCAGACTTCTAAATTTTCAACACTCATTTCAGTACTGTCTTCAATTTCTACTATTACTTTTTTGAAGAACTTGTGAATTGAACTGAGTATAGTATTCCTGGTGAGAGCATATCATTAATGACATTATAATGGCATTATAATATTTTCCAATATTCACACTCTTCAGATAGCAGATAGAATACTTGGACTGTGCAGCAATTTCCAAACAAGAGTATACAACCTAACTGAGATAACTTATGTGGTTATTTCATTTAAAAGTCTAAGAAGGTGAGGTAACTAACATACCACCTATTGAAACTTGGGATGTGTCTCCAGAGAACTTTTCACTGCAATAGATACTTTTTGAAATTAAGAGTTGGACCAGCAAACATAAAACAGATTGTAGGAAAATGCTCACCTCTGCACTGAAGTTGTTCCAGTAGGTCTCCTCTGTTGATAACAATTTCTCCATTCTTGCTACTGTAACCAAGAACTTGGAAGGCATTTTGTATTTCTTTCATTGACAGGCCAAATGCTGGTCGATGATTTATGTAAAGTTTGATAAAATCTCCTAAGTTGATATTTGTAACCTGTTTTCCAGTGTCCACATACTCACTAAATTTGACTTCATTTATCATGTCCTCAATCTAAAAGTCAAGACAAAAGACACTTATACAAACAAGGGAAGAAGCCCACTGCCAATATTAATCCAGAATAATTCCACAGGAGTCACAGGATTTACATTATACCTTTGAGTTGATTAGTTGACAATATCTCTTTAAAGAAGTTGTTTACCACAATCAAAATTACATCAACCCCAGTAGTACAATTTCTGCAGTACTCTGGGGTCCTTCTGTTATTCTCAGAGAAGCATTTTGCCTGGGATGTAATATACTGGGGAAATATTTTTTTTATGTAACAGCTGATAGGAGAGAGGGAAGGATTGATTCTCTCACTGGCCATGCACTGAAGGCAGAGCAATTATGTGTCTGCTTCACTGCAGCCCTCATAGCAGCTGCACCTCCACGCTGGGGACAATGGACAGTGAGTCCACAAAATGGTGACTCCACCCTGTTCCAGTGTGCAGGAAGCTTCCATGCACGCAGCTGGCTGCATGGTATGCACATCATGAATGAGCTTCCAAAATTCTCCTCCTCCAGCCCCCACTCCTAATACCCATAGATCCTGTGGAGCAGAACTGCGTCTGGGGCTCTCTCCAAATGCAGAGGACTGGACTTCGCTCAAAAGGTCCCACTTCCTGCCTTTTATTTCACTATATCACTCACACAGCAGTCCTTCTATTGGGCAATTAGACAGTGCCTGCCTATCTTTGTCACTAGCTGTTTAACAGCTTTCCTGAAGCCTGCTGCTGTGAGTCAGAGTGATATAAAGCCTTACAGATGTTTGTATGAAAGGCAGGTTCTGTTCCATGCCCTGATTATGCTCATGTTTAAAGAGGCAGCAGCCTCCTTACAGTTACAAATGGAGCTAAATGTTGGGAGAATTCCCAGTGCCAACAAGTACCAAGCATTCTACTCCCCAGGAAGGCAGGCCAACGCAAAGCCTCCCTGGGGAGGCTTTTGCATTCATCCCTGGGCTTTTGTCCTCATGTCACAAGTTTTTCCACTGAATGGTGCTCTGGGAAGATAGAAATCATGGACTTATATTTTCGCCGTGGCAAAAGACATGCAGGGCAAGGACAGAACATTTCACTCAGCTCTAGCTGATCTGGGATTAAGTTTTATCCCCATTCTAATGAATTACAAAAGAAACATTCTCCAACTCCTAAAAGCTTCTGTTCAGGGGAGAGGTTCACACTGATTTTTCCCCCTCCCATTTTTTATTTAATAAAATGTTCCAGAGAGATAAACATTTTTATTCTTTGAATTAATATACTCCCATCTGCTTTGTGAAGCAGATCATAGATTGTCTAGCTTTTACGGTAGTTCAGCACCTCCATTTCCTTGACTGAATTGCTGTCCTCTAATTTCTTACAGACTACTTCTCAGGAACGAGGAGTCCTGTGGCACTTTATAGACTAACAGATTTATTGGAGCATAAGCTTTTGTGGGCAAAGATCCACTTCGTCAGATGTGCTTGGGTGTCTCCCTTGGAGAAAATTCTTCCTGGATGAAGGGACTAGATTGGTACTGCAAAGTGTAATTTAGACCTCCTTGCAACAGAGTTGATAAATCCACTCCGGGTGCCTTAATTTACTTGCCAGGTTGCAGTGCTATAAATTAGGTATGTGTAAGATACAAACTGACTCAGAAATACTATTACAATAGGATAAGAATCAAACTTATTAAGGGATTTAACTTTAGCTACAGTACAAAGAGGATTTGAGGCTTAAAACACCTGAGAAATTTTTGATAAAAAGCCCTCCATTGCTGTGACCCGATGAACAAAACACTGGGAGATTTCCATAGGATTTTAAGTCAACCATTTATCAGTTATAACTTAAAAAACAACAAATGGCCTGGTAGCACTTTATAGACTAACAAAACAGGAAGATGGTATCATCAGCTTTCGTGGGCACAGCCCACTTCTTCAGATGACTGGAGTTACTGAAAATTATTGAGGTTCCTGTAGGTGAAAGGTGCACACTGTACTTAAAACCATTCTCAAGATTACTATCAGGCACAAAGGGAAGTGAAACAAGAGGCTATATACAAACTAACATTACTATACCCTGAGATTTTTTAAGAGGCTGTGTAGTATATGGATAGTCAATATACGAAGCTGAAAGTTCCAAAGCCCTATTTGTAGACTCTAAGGCTATGTCTACACTGCGGCACTAATTCAGGATACTAGAGGTATCCTGAAATAGCTATTGCACATCTTTTGAGTGCGCCCATTATTTCGAAATATAATGGGTTTGCTATTCTGACATCCGTGTAAACCTCATTCCATGAGGAGTAAGGGACATTTTGGAATACTAATTTATTTCAAAATAAGTGCTATGTAGACCAAGTGCCAAATTTTGAAATAAGTTATTTCAAAATAACATCAAAATAAAATATGCAATTTGCGTAGCTCAAATTGTATATTTTATTTCAAACTACAGCACAGTGTATATGCACCCAAATGTGATATAGAGGGACGCCCGTAGGGTGAAAGGAAAACACAAAAAGTGATTTCTTATTTTTTTTCTGAAGGAACCAATCTCTCTTCTGGGGGTCAATTATGGGGTGTGCTTTGGGCACCTACTCTCTGGGAGCTGGACGAAGGCCATCAAACACCTGACAGATGAAAACTTTTGAACTTATCATTTTGGGCTGGATTTGTCCATCCACCCTAAAGGTGAAAGGTTCCTTTTACCAAGCCCCAGAGCAATCCAGTTCCCTAATGGTTTTGAAGCTTTACTTTAAAAATAATATATATGGGACAAAGACATAGAGCAAGATTTTGATCAAAATTACACTATTATAGATTTGGACTAAATACGTTTAAAAGCCATGGATTTCTTTCAGATCTAGTTGGTGTGACTGGGATCAGAAATTGACCGATAGCATATTCTGTAAACACAATAATTCTCTTTGGTAAAAAACAAACCTTTTCCTCTGATGGATAAAACCCCATTGCTCTCATTACAAATGGAACTTCTTCCAAGGGAATATGTGTTGACACCTGTCTGGTTTCCATTGCATCAATACCCTGACTGCGCAGCTGTGCATAGTAAAAATAATCCTCCAGTTCCTGAGAGAAAATCAAATCAAGTACAATAAAGTTCAGCTTTTCATTGTGCATGGCAGATAACCCTTTTCTAAGAGACACTAAAAGGCATATCAATGAAATTGTTGTTAATTCAGATTTAGACACCCCCCACATAAAAAAAATTGTTGGACCTATATAAATTAAAACATGTTAACCAACTGTTACCACACAATGTTTACTGTGACTATAATTACCCTGAAGAATTCACCATCTCTGCCACCATCCAAAAGGTTGTAGAATGGGATCAAATCCTCACCACCCAGAGAAACAGTAGCCTCCAAAGCACTATGACAATACAAAAAGATAGATCAGAAAAGAGCTCATTTCAGGAAAAGTGCCCAGTTTCTCTTCCCACTCATTGCTGCCAACTACACTGAAATTTATAACAAATAAATATATAAAATCCACCCAAGACTCAGAACAAACAGAGAAAGGTATAGTTTTAAGTTGCTACTCAGTGAACAGTCAGCCCTTCTACAGTACGTCCCATTCCAGGATTTCCCAGTGTTTTACATATAATTGCCCAGTATAGTAGGTAATTATTATTGAGAGTCTGGAATGAACACAAAGCTGGGAGATAGGAAACACTTGTTTTTAAACCTGACTACCACTGTCGTGGTGTGTAGTCTTTGTAGGTATGTCTACAAAGCAAAGTTATTTAGAAATAACAGCCGTTATTTCAAAATAACTAACCTAGCGTCTACACAGCCATTCCGTTATTTCAAAATTAAATCAAAATAGTGGATTGCTTATTTTGAAATTGGTAAACCTCGTTCCACGAGGAATAACGCCAATTTCGAAATTGCTATTTTGAAATAAGTGCTGTATAGACACTTATTTCAAAATACGGGGCCTTCAGCCTTCCCAGGGTGCCCTGGTGGCCACTCAGGCCTCAACCAAGAACACTCCTCTCCCTCCCCTACTCTGCGGAGCCCTTAAAGGGGTACACTCTGGCCACAGTGCCTGTGCCAGCTCTAAGCCTGCCAGCAGGCACTGCCCCAACCCAGTGGCCCCAAAACATGAGCCAACAAGCCACTGGCAGCCAGCCCTCCACCGCTCCCCAGGAGCAGTCTGCCAGCTTCCAAGAGCCTCCCAGGGCCCGGAGAAGGCGGGCGCCTTCCTAGTCCAGGGTGGAGATCATGGACCTTATTCAGGTTTGGGGAAGATGCCCCTAACATCCATGAGCTCCGCACTAGATGGAGGAACGTGCCTGTCTATGGCAGGATAGCTGCCAGCCTGGCCATCAAAGGCCACATGCAAACCCAGGAGCAGGTTCGCATGAAAATCAAGTTGATCCGGCGAGACCCCCAACCCTGAGCTTCCTCTCCCCCTTCTTCTCCTTGCTTCCCCCTTCCAGCTCCCTCCTCCAAGGTTTCCTCCTCCCCTCTCTAACCCCTTTCCCCAGTCTCACAAGAGTTTCATTCCCCCCTCCCCAGTTTTGTTAAATAAAGAGAGTTTGTGTTCATGAAAATACATGTATTTTATTTTACATCAGGAAGGGGGGTTAGGGAGGGGTAAGTGGAAGGACATGAGGGAGGAATGAGGCACAAGCCCCCAGTTGGGTAGTCCAGGGAGGCTCTTAGTGCTCCTCAGGTTGGGAGCTCTCCTGCAGGGCCTCCTGAATACTGACAGCCCCCTGATGGACCTCCCGGATGGCAGCCTGCAGAAAGTGCAGCCAGGCTCGCTGCAACGTGTCCCAGAGAAGCACCAGAGTGCCTAGGGGCAGCTCTGGCTCGATGCTGCAGAGTGCTGTGGTGTCCCGAGTGAGGGCAACAAGAACATGCAGAGACAAAATGCTTTCCTGTCCCTCATCGAGGTAGGTAAGCAAGCAGGGAAAGCTGAGAACTGGCTATCCGGAGGGGGTTTCTTTAAGCACAGGCCTCAGATAGCCTCAGGCAGCAACCACACAGAGTAACTCCTGACCTGATGTCCTGCCAGACCTGGGTCCAGCTGGCCTTAAATGCAATTCAGCATCCACTCAGTGTGGCTGTGCTATTTTGAAATAGCAAAAAGCTATTTCCAAATGCATTTTGTGTGTAGAAGCGTTATTTCGAAATAAGATATTTCGAAATAATGCTGTAGTGTAGACATACCCAGAGTGTAGCATGAAGTGTACTTTTAAAATAGCCAGCATCTTTACAGTGAAGGATGGTGATGTGGAGCTGGAAACATTGTGGGGATTCATTTACATCAGGCCAGCACTTTGAACTGGTAAAGACCTAGAAAAATCAAACCTTGCTCCTAGTTCCCAGACTTGAGCAATTACACAGTTTTGTTAATCGGGTCAGAGCTCTATTCTTCACAGTGGAAGACAATATTTTAGATGTAATGTATGTGTAAAAATGCTGCTATAGTTCCATCTTCTGTGGTTTACATTTCAGTTTCACAGGCAACCAGAGACAAAAGAACCACATATTAGTAAGGATGCAGAAAAGTAACAGCCCAAGACACTACAATAGCCTGGTACTGCAATAACATCAGCTACATCTCTATGGCTTCATGACAACATGCCATCTGCTTTGATCTCCAGTTTGGTATGCTGTTCTCCATTGTGTGATCTGCAAGTTTTATGCTTTTTTATAATTAAGTTATTGGGATATTAAACATCGTGGCGACAGAAGATACTAGAAGCTGCAGTAAAGTGATAAGAAGCTGGTTTAAGAGCATGTGCAGCAGTTTTCTTCATTTTGCATCTATCTAGCTAGGTATTTACAGAGTTCTTGGCAGTGTGGTACCCAAGTCCCTTACTCCACCTTGTGTTCACATCAGAATTAATAGCCCTCACATTAATGGCAACAAACATGGCCTCTCTTTCTGGCATTTTTACTAAGTGCCCTGAACAAAGGCTTTTGAAGGAGGTATCCCATGTCTTTTGGCACAGCTCTTTGCCCAGAAGCTGACAAAGGAAAGTTCCAACCTTGTAATCAGGGACAGCACCTAACCAGTATATACAAGCTGTCCCAGTCACTGCAATTGATCTACTCAAATGAGGAAGGCATTGGAGTTGTTTGTTCTAAAATACATTCTGTAAAATGCACTAGGGATTTCCTGAACCATACCAGTCCATCCCATTTTGGAAATTGGACATTCTATATCAGCTCTTCTCTATTGTTTTTCATATTGCAGGGCATTTTATAAGAAACAGATGCTCCTATAGACTCACTTCCTGTCCCAAATCTCTCAATCCCACTGCCTGTCTCTATAAAGACCACCCCAGTCTGCTGCCCCTCAGGCAGTGATATTAAAGCCAACGTTTTATAAATTATTTAGCACTTACATAGCACCTTTCATGTTCAAGTCACTCTAGAAACACTCATTAATTGTGATGGCAGCCTCTGAAGGAGGTAGGACAGAATGATAATCCCCTTTTAAACAGATGAGAAACCAAGAGGAAAAGACATATTCTGAAGCTCACAGGAGAAGGTAGTGTCCAACCCAGGATTAGTATTTCTGAGTTTTTGATTCCCATTCCTGTGCGTTGGCTCTAGAACGTATCAACTTTTTGCATTCATCCTGGGTGAGAACCTGTGAAATACTGAGTATCAGTGTTCCCTGTAAGCTGTGCACTTGTGCAGGTGCTCATGAGAGATTCCAATGACACCCAGATGGATCACAGTGTGCCCACTGTAGGTCTGTGTTTCTATTGGTGGTACACATTAGCACATGCCTTAGTGCATGAAAAAATTATTCTGAACAAGGATGGAAAAGATTAGAGGGAACATTGCTGAATACCCTAAACTTTGCTGAATACCCTTGACATAACACTGCTGAATACCCTTGACTTCCATGTGACATAAGGCTGTTTACTTCTTCACAGGGTCTGGGCATTGGCAGGCAGTGCAGAAGCCTAGGAAAAAGAGAGGTTACTCATTTTGTGCAGTAACTAATGTTCTTCAAGATGAGTGTCCCTGTGGGTGTTTCAATATAGCTGTCTCGGCACCCCTGTGTTTATAATCGGAATCTTTTAGCAGCAGTATCCCCTCGGGGGCCAGCACAAATGTGCAGTGCTGCTTGCACCGTAGCAAGCGTGTTGACATGTGCACACCATTGACTGTCCCTCACTTCCTTCTCTACTATGAGAGATGTTAGAATTCTGAAGCAGAGAGGAGGAGGAAAGGTCATGAAGCACCCACAGAGACACCCATCTTGAAGAACATCCGTTACTGCACAAGGTGAGCAGCCTTTTTTTTCTTTTTCAAGGGTGCTCCACTGAAGGTGACTATGGAGCAGTGCCTCAAGTGTTTGGAAGGATGGGTTTCAGATCTGACCTTTGAATGGAGGACAGGATTGCAGCTCCAAACTTACTGTATTGTGAAGCATAAGTGTCTACTGCATAGTGTTTCGTAAATGTATGCGTAGAAGCCCATGTTGCAGCCCTACAAATGTCCATGATGGGCACGTTATGCAAGGCTGTGGAAGTGGCCATTGCTCTGGTGGAATGTGCCCGCAACTGACTTGGTGAAACAAGTTGTAATACAATTTGTTACCCACTTTCAAAGTATCTGTTTAGAAATCTCCTGCCCTTTGGAGTGAACTGCTATGGAAATAAACAGTCTGGAGAAGCATCTAAACTGCTTTGTTCTTTCCAGGTAAAAAGCGATCGTTCAGTGGACATCCAGATGAGACTTCTGATGGAAGACAGGTAAATATAAAGACAGGACTATGAAGCACTTTAAAGACTAACAAGATCGTTTATTAGGTGATAAGCTTTCGTGGGCCAGATCCACTTCCTCAGATCAAATTGTGGAAGAAAATTGGCATGACCATATATACCAAAGGGATACAATAAAAAAAATTGAACACATCTAAAATTGAGAAATCAGATTTTAGAACGGGGCGGGAGGGGGAGTGAGGGAGGGAGGTTAGTGTCTATGGGTATGTCTACACTACCCTCCTAGTTCGAACTAGGAGGGTAGTGTAGACATACCCATAGACACTAACCTCCCTCCCTCACTCCCCCTCCCGCCCCGTTCTAAAATCTGATTTCTCAATTTTAGATGTGTTCAATTTTTTTTATTGTATCCCTTTGGTATATATGGTCATGCCAATTTTCTTCCACAATTTGATCTGAGGAAGTGGATCTGGCCCACGAAAGCTTATCACCTAATAAACGATCTTGTTAGTCTTTAAAGTGCTTCATAGTCCTGTCTTTATATTTACCTGTCTTCCATCAGAAGTCTCATCTGGATGTCCACTGAACGATCGCTTTTTACCTGGAAAGAACAAAGCAGTTTAGATGCTTCTCCAGACTGTTTATTTCCATAGCAGCATACCCTATGAGATAATGATATTAGAGGTGATAATTATCATTATCTCATAGACATTAACCTCCCCCCTCATTTCCCCTCTGTTCTAAAATCTGATTTGTCTATTTTATATGTGTTCACTTTTTTTTGATTGTATCCCTTTGGTATACACACACACACCCATTCTAAAAACTGATTTGTCAATTTTATGTTTACTTTTTTTGATTGTATCCCTTTGGTATATATGGTCATGCCAATTTTCTTCTACAACTTGATCTGAGGAAGTGGGTCTGGCCCATGAAAGCTCATCACTAATAAACCATCTTGTTAGTCTTTAAAGTGCTGCATAGTCCTGGTTTTTGTTTCACCAAGACCAGACTAACAGGGCTACATCTCTATTACTATTCTACAGGTGAATATAAAGATTCATTGAGGTGAATCTATTAAACCACTTTGAAAATTTGGATGCGGTCTGAGCACCGCTTTGTCTTTGTGGAAAAAGGCAAATGGTAGGTCGGCCATGAGTGCCACTAACTTGCTGATCCTCCCGGCTGTTGTGATGGCTAGAAGGAAAGCAACTTTCATGGAAAGAAACAACAGAGAACATGTTGCCATTTGCTCGAATGGGAAGCCAGTTGGGGTGTTAAGGATGAGGTTGAGATTCCAGGATGATACTATCTGCTTTACCGGAGGAAAGATGTTGTTAAGGCTTTTGAAGAATACTTTAGTAGTTAGGAGAGAAAATATAGTGTGCTCATCTATGGGACAATGTTCATTAGAAATAGCCACGAAATGGACTTTAATTGACATGTTTGAGAGATTCTGCCTAACGAAAGAAGGTACTCCAACACTGTTAGCAATGGTGTTATCTGTGATTGGAGTGCTTTATGACTGGCTTACGTGCAGAAACAGTGCCGTTTTTTAGCATAGGTCTTTCTCGTACTCTCTTTATGGCAGTTCATGATTAGAATACGAACTTACTCCAAAAAGGTGAGGTCATGCAGAGTCAACCCTGGAGAAGCCAGGCCTTAAGATGGAGCCTGTGAACGTGAGGATAAAGAACACGACCTTGGTACTGAGACAGTAGGTCTGGCCACTGCAGAAGATGAATCGGAGGAGCAGTTGACATCTGTGACAGATAAGGAAACCAGGTCTGCCTTGGCTATGCCAGCACTATCAGAATGACTCTGGTCCTGTCCTGTTTTATTTTCTGTATAACCTTGTTGAGGAGTGGAAGAAGCAGGAAAGCACAGAGAAGATTGTGAGTCCAACTGATCAGCATAGTGTTTTCCATGGGGTTCTTGCCCAAGCCTTTTCTGGAACAGTACTCAGGGCATTTCATGTTGAGAAATGTGACAAAAGTCTATGTCTGCAAAACCCCTCTTCTGGAAGATGGCATGTAGGACTTGTGAGTCCTACATATTTCTGACGGAATACTTGGCTCAGGTGGTCCGCGGTGACATTTTTCTTGCCTGGGAGGTATGCTGCTGCTATGGTCACTTGATAGTGAATGCACCACTGCCAAAATGCTGTGGCCTCTTTGGTATGACCTGGCCCCATCTGCTGTGGTGGCCCCACCTGGCTGATTTATATAAAACATGCAAGTTGTGTTGTCCATGAGTATCCTCAGGAACTTGCTTTGAATTAGGGGAAGAAAATACTCACAGGCTTTTCTGACTGCCCGGAGCTCTAGAACCTTGCTGCGTAGAGCTGATTGTGAAGGAACCAATCTTCCCTGAGTGCTATAATCGTTCATGTGAGCACCCCAGCTATCCAGGGAAGCATTCAGTTGCCAACCTGCACGCGTGGCATGGTAGGAAATTGGACTTTTGGAACCAGAATTTCAGAAGAGTTCAGCATCTCTAGTGACTCCCATCTGAGAATACAATCTGCCCAACTCTCTAAACAGGAGCTGAGCCTTTCTGAAAATTTGGTTCCAATTGTGGGTCTGGAGCACATGTGAAGATTTAGCCCTCTCTTTGTCAACAGCAGCCCTTCTGCAAACCAACAGTGGATCAGATAAAATTTTAAATGAAGCAGAATCTACTGAAATGCAAGAGTCAGTGCTATATAGGAAGGCATTAGAACCATGCTTGAAGCAGGGTACCGATATTAATGCTTCTTACTTGCTTGAGTTTTAGGGGCTTCAGTATTACGCCCTTCTGAAGCAAAATGAGATCCTTTGTGAAGAAAGACCCTATATAAACATATGTTCTTTGTCACAGGACACATGCTTTAGCTATGTTGGTCACTGTTGTGTAAAGGGACAGAGCACTTATCAGTGAGAACAGCATGCTCTGCTTTTCCCTGTTGTTTACTCACTTTATATTAAGTTCCCATTTCATCACGATGCGGTCATTACCCCCTGCTGTAAAGACATGACATCCATCATAGGAACTAGCAAGGTTGGAGACTCCTCCTGGATGGCAAATGAAAGCCAAGGACTTGTGGGGGTTACCATCAATGGGCAAAATCTGCAGGCCAACCTACCAAGAAAAAGAGTAACTTTGATTAGTCAAATTCTATTCAGTGGCTTTATTATTAAACAGTGTTGGCAGCCTGTGGCCTATTGGAGGTGAAACTATCAGATCTGGTGAGTCATTCTAGCCTTATGCTCTATGACCTCTGTGACACCAAGGAGTAAATTCTTCCATCATGTAGGCTGTCTAGAACAGGGGCTGGCCAACCCGAGGCTCGTGAGCTGCATGCAGCTCTTCAAAGAAAAAATTGCGGCTCCTGCACCTGTGGCTCGCCGCTCTTAAAGGGGCAGCATGTTTCTGTCTGAAAGAGACAGAGTCGGAGTCACAGCATTCCGTGCAGACTTTAAAATGACCACATTCAACATGGTCACCTTAAAAGGGCAATGCCTGCTCTGCACTTAAAAGGGCAAACTGTTTTGGTTTTTTTTTTTTTTTTTTTGCTCAACCAAACATTGGTTCAACAACTTTTTTCCTTTGGCTCTTTGCGCTGTATCCACCACTATTTTGGCTCTTCATCTGTAATGGGTTGGCCACTTCTGGTCTAGAACCTTAGCTGTCCACTCTGGAAGGTTCTGTAGTGACAAGAATCAACTCTCAGCCTTCTCTAAACATAATCCTGCAGTACTGAGACTCAGGAGTTCATGGAACTGGGTCCTGAATCTGCATTTTCTGGATGGGGCTCTCAGATTCTGTCCATCCACATGCAGTGGAAATACACACAGTTCTACAGTGCACAGAAACCTCAATTCTAATGAAACTGGACAAGATTTACCCCAGAAATATTCCAGTGTGGCTGAAATGGCTGACTAAGGAAGGACCCATCAACATGTAAATCTGAAGTTTTACCACATTGTTCCATGAACCAGAGTTTTGGAACACAAGCAATGCTGGCCCCAATGGCAGATTTCACACAACAAAAAATCCAGAACACAAGCAGAAAAGGAAACAGCAGACTCCACGTTTAGTCCAGCGTTGTAACCTCTGGGCTTGAAGCCAGCCCATCCTATAGGCACTCACGCAGCCAAGATCAACTTTTATAGCCCCTCCCTTGAGGACCTGTGTGCAGGAGGGGGATGTTAAGCTGAGGTTAACTCCTTCTTCACTTACAGACAAGTAGTGTTCATACATGGGGAGGAGGATGGTTATCAAAATTCAACACCATAGTTATTGCCTATTCAAAGTATAGAGAAATACTGTGGTATTCATGGGGAAATAATGAATTTTAAAATGGTGACTGAATGGTGCATAGAAAAAACAGTATAAATGTCTCCCAAGTGAAATTCATCAGAGAAGCTAAACAAGTCCTCTCCACAATTCCCACTTCCTAATCCCCTCATCTCCTACTCCCAAATCCTCAACTTCCAATACCTCTGGTCTTGCCCAAACCCACATTTTTTCTTTAATTGCTTCCAATAGTCCCACTTCTGACTTCTACGCTCTTTTCACTTGTCTTGCTGAATACATGAAGGACTAGATTACCTGAAATTCAGAACCTTCCATGACTTTATCTATGGTGAAAGACCTACATTTACAACAGGCAAACTTTTGTCCTAAGCAAGCACTTTAAAGTATTCCAGAGATAGATATTTTCTCTTTTGCTGGATAGTTGCCGAGGGCAGGTTTCACTATTATACACACACGTAGAGGATACACTAAGGAACACTATAGATCTGTTAAACACTATAAAAGAATAATACCTAGATCTTAATAGCACTTGTCATTGGTAGATCTCAAAATGCTTTCCAGTGGAGATCAGTATCCTTAGCCTTATTTTAATGATGGGGAAATTGAGGTACAGAGGTGGGAAGTGATTTGTCCAAGCTTACCCAGAAAGGCTATTGCACAGCCAGTGATAGAATACAGCACCCCCTTGTTCTAGTCTAGGGCTCTATCCACTTGGTGACACTGCCTTCCTTTAAATACACGGTGTCTTTCTCCCTTCTCCTAGCATAAGTACTAAAAGTCAGCAAATAAAATTAAAAGGGCAGCAGATTTACAACAAACAAAAGGAAGCATTTTAACACAAGACACATTCAACCTGTGGAATTCCCTGACAGAGGATGTTATAAAGACTAAGACTATACCAGGGTTCAGAAAAGAGCTAGATAAATTCATGGAGGATGGATTCATCAATGGCTATTAGCTAGGATAAATAGAAATGATGTCTCTAGCCTCAGTTTGTCATAGGTTGGGAACGAGTGACAGATCACTTGATGATTCCCTGTCGTGTTCATTCCCTCTAGGGCACCTAGCATTGGCCACTGTCAGAAGACAGGATATTGGGTTGGATGGACTTTTGGTCTGACCCAGTACAGCTGTACTTAAGTTCCTTTGGGGCACATCTATACAGCAGCATTATTTCAAAATCACTAGCGTTATCTCAAAATAACAAAGTGAACATCTACACAGCAAACCCATTATTTATTTTGAAATGATGGGCTTTTTTTTTCAAATTCTGTAACCCTCATTTTATGAGGAATAATGCCTATTTCAAAATAGCTATTTTGAAATAGGGCATGTGTAGACAGGGCAGCTGGAGTTATTTTGAAATAAGGGGCCTCCAGGGCTTCCCACAGGTGCCTTGCTGGTCACTTTGGCTACACTCATCACTACTCTATAGTTCCTCCTCCCCTGCAGCCCTTAAAGCTGCAGCCACAGGGGAAAGGGCTTGTGGCACAATGCAGGCCTTGACAGCCCTGTTCCACAAAGCAGCAGCCATCCCAGCTGTCCCGGCTGCCATGAGCGACTTCTGTGCTGCATCTGAGCTCCTAGGACCCTGCCCAGGGACAAAAGAGGTATGCGCACCTTCCTTGTCTGGTGTAGAGATCCTGGACCTCATTGAGGACTGGGGAGAGAAGACAAACCACCAGGCTCTCCATGCCAGGTGCAGGAATGTGGAGGTCTATGGCTGAATGGCCAATAGCCCGGGCCACATGCACATGCAGAAGCATGTGCACATGAAGATCAAGGAGCTCAGGCAGACCTATGCCAAGGCCAGGAGTGCAGCTCCTGCTCCAGAGCGGTACCACAGGTCTGCCCTTTTGACCAGCTCTACCACATCCTAAGGAGGGTGATCAGTCCGTTCCTGTCCCCCATGGTGGACTCTGGGCTGGAGTTGCCCGTTGTTGCCTTCCCAGGAGGCAGAGCCAGTATGGAGGTGGAGGAGCTGAATGAAGCCAGCACCATCTTGATGCCCACCAGACAGAAGGTCATGCTCACCCTGGAGCTGGTACCCCCCTCCCAGGGGGTCTCCTAGGCTTCATCCAAAGCTGGGGAAGGCCCACTTTCACGAGACATACATGGGTGGAGATGGCAGGCAGTGAGGGGCTGCTGCATACCCCTCACTTGGCCGTCTCAGCCTGGGGATCGCACAGCAGCCTGTGCATATGGAGCACCAGTCTGGGGGACACAGCCCCAGGAGGCTGCAACAGAGGACCCATGTACTCTTGCTCACACCATCCCATCACAAGCCACTACTATAAAGGAGGCTGGGGACATGGAGACACACCCACACAGCAAGCAGTGCCACACATGGCACACGGGCATGTCCACAGTCTCAGGGCAGCATCCGCTCCAGGGGATAGTGCAGCATGGCGGAGGACACTGAGCCTCTTGTAGGGGAGCCTGCTGGGAGGGGGAAAAAAGTGGAGGGGACCTCAGGAACACCCTCCCCAGCAAACAGCATTTGCCACTTAGGCACACCTCCCTCAACACCCTACTCCCTCTTGTCCAGGAGCAGGGATACAGGTCCTCTCTCTCTGTGGGACATCGCCACTGCCAGACCCGCTGTGTACGTAGCACAGAGTGAAGCTGAGCCACCCCATCATCGCCCACAGGCTCCTGGCCTTACCAGCGCATTCCCATGCCTGCTTGTCCCTGGGACGTGGGGGTAGTGAGGATTTCCCCTGGGATATGTGTGTCCCTGCAGGAAAGGGCTCACTGTCCAGGCCTTACGTGGCCTTGCTGGAAACACATCCCCTTCATCTGACCCGAGACCTTTCAGTATCGGCTCACAGATGAGGACTAAAACAAAAGACAGAACTATGTAGCACTTTTAAAGACTAACAAGAAAAAAATGGTTTTCACTTTAAAGACTAACTATTCTACAGATGAGGGCTAGGCTTCATGCACAACATCTCCTAGGTGACTGCCCTTCTCTTTGTTCTCCATAGCTGGGCCAGCTGCAAGTGGGCACATCTCCCATACCATCCTCCCTACCCCACATGACCTGCAGGTGACGGTGAGCCCAGGAAGACCTGCAGCAGGAGCACATCGCCAGTCTTTGTGCCCTGCAGAACTCCCTGGACCAGCAGGACCGCAGACTGGAGGTAGACTTGGGGCTATACCAAAACACCTGGCCGGAGCTGCTGCTGCAGGGCAACTTCCCACCCCCGTCTTCTCCCTCTAGCCCCTTTGTGACCACTCAGCACCCCACACTAGAAACAGTGGGACCACCCGAGGCAGGTGCCAGTCCCAGCCCCATCCCGATACCCGAGCTTCTCTTCCTCCCTCTTCTTCCCCCTTCCATCTTCCTCCCCCTCTCTCAGGTTCTTTCCCCAATCTCTTCCCTGTTACATTTACCCCAATTAAACAAAACCAGTTTATTATTTCAGAACAAAAAGTGTGTTTTTTGTGGCCGCAGGAGAGGGAATGGAGGGGTGGAGGAGGAAAGGGGAGGCCCGGAAGAGTGTGTCATCTGGGGTCCTTGTGAGAAACTGTCCCTCGGGGCCTCTCGGATGCATACAGCCCCCCAATGAGCCTGCCAGATGGCAGCCATGCGCAACTGCTCAAAGGCACTGGTAAGCCGCTCGCCCTCTGCCCCCCTCCCATCCGCGTGGGAACACTGGCCCCATTATGTTAACAAAGGTTGTGGAGGACAAAGCACACAGCCACCACTTGGGGGACGTTCTAGTCACTCAGGCCCAGCCGGGTGAGGAGGCAATGGAACCTTTCTTCAAACGGCTGAAGGATGTTGATGTGGGCCCTGCTGAGCCTGCCACTGAAGTGTTCCTTGCTTTGGTCAAGGTGTTCCATGTAGGGTTTCATCGGCCAGGGGAGCAAAGGGTAGGCCGCATCCCCTAGAATGCACATCGGCATGTCCATGTCCCTGACCCCGATGGTGCAGTCGGGGAAAAAAGTGCCAGCGTGCAGCCTCTGGAACAGGCTGGAATGTTGATGTGGGCCCTGCTGAGCCTGCCACTGAAGTGTTCCTTGCTTTGGTCAAGGTGTTCCATGTAGGGTTTCATCGGCCAGGGGAGCAAAGGGTAGGCCGCATCCCCTAGAATGCACATCGGCATGTCCATGTCCCTGACCCCGATGGTGCAGTCGGGGAAAAAAGTGCCAGCGTGCAGCCTCTGGAACAGGCTGGAGTTCCTGAAGATGTAGGCATCATGCACCTTCTCTGATCCACCAGTGCGGATGTATGAACTGGCCGTGGTGGTTCACCAGGGCCTGCAGGACCATCAAAAAGTATCCCTTCTGATTGATGAATTAGGATGCCTGGTAGTCAGAGCCCTGGATGGGGATATGGTACCGTCTATAGCTTCCCACAAGTTGAGGAAGCCCCTGGTGGCAATGCCAGCAACGATGGGATCCACATTGTCCAGGGTGATGACCCTGAGCAGCAAGATGGTGTTGATGGCCCTCACCACCTGTAGAAGGAGACAAAGAATCACAGGTTTGCCAGAACCCTCAGGAGGTTCCCAACAGGAGTAACCCCTATTTACCCCATCCCCGGGCAGGGCTTTGTGAAAGCAGGACTGAAAGACCTTCCAGGGAAGGGGGCTTCCACAACCACCCCACTTTCCCTAGGATACCCCATTCCAGCAGTTCATCGCCCCCCCCCAAGAGTGCCATACCTGCATGAGCATGGCCTCAATGGTTGATCTCCCTATGGTGAAGTGGTTCCTGACGAATCAATAGCTGTCCTATGTGGCAAGCTTCCAGATAGTGATAGCAACCTGCTTCTTGACGGGGATGGTGGGTCACATGTGGGTGTCCCATCATTGGAGGGCAGGAGTGAGCCACTCACACAGCTCCAGACCCAAGAGTGCCATACCTGCATGAGCATGGCCTCAATGGTTGATCTCCCTATGGTGAAGTGGTTCCTGACGAATCAATAGCTGTCCTATGTGGCAAGCTTCCAGATAGTGATAGCAACCTGCTTCTTGACGGGGATGGTGGGTCACATGTGGGTGTCCCATCATTGGAGGGCAGGAGTGAGCCACTCACACAGCTCCAGAAAGTTGTCCTTCCACATGTGGAAATTCTGGAGCCACTGATAGTCATCCCAGCGCTCCATAACAACCCGGCCCCACCAACTGCAACTGGTGTCCTGTCATCAGAAGCGGTGGTGTATGGTATGCAGGAGATGGTGGGTGCATGAGCAGCGTGTGGAGAGAGAGAGGGAGGAGGAGCTCTGCAATGAGCAGGGGGGGTCCTCCTTCTGTAGAGCCACAAGGGCAGCCAGCAGAAATGGAACCAGGAAGTGCTGCATGAGACGTAAGAGCCATCAATTGATCGGAGACAGCGCCAGCTCCACGGCAGAAGTGCTGTGGTATCCACAAGGATAATCAGAGCACTCAGTGAAAAGGCTTTGCTGTCCCTCCAGGAGGGAGGCAAAGGAGAAGAGCTGATATGCAACTGTACAGGAGGGCCCCTTTAAGCATAAGCCTCACATAGCCTTGATGCCCTGCCTGAAGTGCTTCTTGGTGGCCTTAAATACGATTCAGGATCCAATGAGTGTGGATGCACTATTTTGATGGGCAGTTGCTGTGTAGACGCACTATTTCAAAATAGCTTATTCCAAAATAAGTGTACAAAGTATGAATGCCACTTGTACCTAAGGGTAACTCCATGTAAGGTTGTTTACAGTGTTATGCAAAACAATTCAAAAAGCATATCCGATATAAACATAGGGATTCTGTACCTTATCTTTTGTAATATAGGCCAGATATCTTTTTTGTGGATCCTGACTGTTTGCTGCTGGAAGGATTTGTATCTTCTCAAGAGGTGACCCATAGGTTGGTCCCAGAAGTGACTTTCTAAAGGAAAACAACATTATCATTTATTCCATTGATCTTGCCCATTTTTTCATACAAATATTGCTTTATACAAGTATGGGATTGCACGTGCGTATAGGAGTGTGAAGCTAGTGCTGGTAAAGTTGCCAAGATGACAAACTCTAGAGACCAAAATTTTATATGCCAATTGTCCTGTCTTTCTCCTTGGAAGGGTCATCATTGGGAGAGAGGCAAGTTTAGTTTCCATTGCCTTCATTGACACTGCCAGGCTTCCCACAATATTGGCTTTCCGTTGGGAATGCACTTTTGATTGAAGAACAAACTTGTTCAGCTTCCAACACATTCAAAGCTTTAGGCTCTGGCAATGATTAAATGTCATTAAATAATCTCAGAGGGTTAATGTTCAGGGCAAGCCAGAAAAAGGAGCTTTTAAAGAACCACTCTCTTTGATCATCTCTGTAAACACTGCAGTTAATTCAGTCACTAACATCCTTGAAGGATAGAAAGCATGTCCTCCATGAGAGCACTAGTTTCCATTCCATTATCTTTGTTACACAGGAATCATTCATTTCCACATGAGACTTTCAAGAGAGGAACTAAGAGCTGAATCCCGTTCTCTTACACCTACCCTACAAAATCTAGCTCTAGATATTTGATGTGCTCCATTCAGACCTGGAGCATTTCACCTTCTGATAAAAGATATTTGGGCAGCGTTAGTGAAATGCTGGGCCCGTCAGTGGCTTGAAGAGCAGAGAGAGGACCTGGACTGGACGCTGGCTTAAAATTTTTTTATCTTAAATCAATACAGGGGTCCCTTGTGTTTAAAAGTCTGCTAGTTAGATTGGCTGGCCAGGGCAAGATTCCTGTTATAACTAGGGAAAACCTGGGCCAACATTTGGTAGTTAGCATAGTGGAAGCAAGGATACACAGGCAGCTTTACAGATGTAATCAGTGGAGCTATGCAGGACTCTTATCACAGTTAGTGTTTCTCCCGTCTTTTTGTAAATAACTTTGGGTCCAGTGGTTTGACACAGAACCCAGGCACTCAGGACTGGGAGCTTCATTACCAGCTCTGACTCTGCATCCCTGTTCATTAGGTCAAACTCTTCAGTTGTGTCCGCTGACCATGTGTGCCCACAGAAAGATTGGGGAGAAAATGGAGCACCGTTTGACTCACTATGGGCATGTCTACATAGCAACATTACGAAATATAGTAGCCCAATGTCTGTGACTTTGTAATGCTGAAACACTGGCCGTTCCCTCTGGGCGGCATTGTTGCCTCCTGCCGTGGTGCTCGGCTGACTTCTGCGCCGCTCAGCCAGGCCGCCGTGCAGGAGCAAGTAGCACAAGCGGCCGTTTGGGCTCCACGCTCCCCATGCAGCATGAGGGTGCTGCATGACATGGAGCCCAAATGGCTGCTTGCTCCTGCGCAGCAGCCCAGCTGAGCGGCGCAGAAGTCAGTCGAGCACCACAGCAGGAGGCAACAGCACTGCCCAAAGGGAACAGCCAGAAGGCGGGGCCTGGACAAGCGTGGGTCTCCGACGTCAGGAAAGGGCGCCGGATTCAAAAGGAGAAAAGTGGAGCAGACACAGAGGAGAACGGAGGAGGCAGAGGACAGCGAGAAAGAGAGTGAGAAAGATGCAGCAGGAGGAAGAGAAGAGAAACACAGAGTGACAGGTGGGAGGGGGAGAAAAGAAAGAAAGAGACGGAGAGAGACTCAGAGAGCTGAGAGAGAGAGGGTGAGGCAGTAGGAGGAGAAGAGAGAGGCCGTTTGTGCCGCTTGCTCCCACGCGGTCGCCCGGTTGAGTGGCGTAGAAGTCAGCCGAGCACCACGGTGGGAGGCAAAGGGGGGTGGGGCAGTGACATACATACCCCGGGGGCAGGGCCTGGATGAGTGTGCATCCCCGATGGAGGCAGAGGAGAGCAGAGTGAGACTAAGAGACAAGAGTGGGGAGACGAGAAAGAGAGAGATGGCAAAAGAGGCAGAAGGCGGAGGAGAGCTTAGGTGGGTGGGGAGGCACTAGGAGGAGGAGAGAGAGAAAGAGACATGGAGCGAGAGACCGGAGGCTCAGGTTGAGAAGACCGACGTGGAGGACAGACCTGAAAATCCAGTCTTATGATGGGCTAAAATGGCTTTTTACAAAAAAAATTAATTCCTTAGTCCGTATCTACACAGCAGGCAGTTATTTTGAAATAATATTGACATACTGTCAAGCTGGAGGACTTCTTACTCGGACTCCTGAAACCTCACTGTAAACGGAGTAAGGGAAGTCGGAGGAAGAGTGCTCTATTTTCAAATAAGTGCTGTGTAGACGCTCCCAATTTCGAAATAAGCTATGCAATTGACATAGCTCAATTTGTGTCCCTTATTTCGAGTAAAGCCCTGCTATGTAGACGTACCCTATGAAAGTAAATTAGGATTTGAGTCTCCCAGTTACCTGCACATTTTAGTTGTAGCATTATAAAGCTTCATTTTGTACTTATTATTGGCTGTGAGAATAAAAGCTTCTGGAGTGAAGGGAGGGTACCAGGCCAAACACAATGGGACTGCACTCTGTTCAATGCGGTCTCTTCGCAGAATTGCCAGGTTATCTTTACTGCTGCTGCCTAGATCATACTCCACCTGATGAGAACATAATAAACAAGATCCATGTGAAACAGCTGCACAAACTTGTCAGCATTCAGAGTAGTCTAGTGCTCCCTACCACCCTTTGCTTGACACTAGTGATTTGAATGTGCTTGACAAATGCTAATTAATTCACACCCCAACAGCCCTGCACAGCAAGGAAGGAGATTTTTTTGCAGTTTATAAAATATTACTATTGAAACCTCTACTCATGTGTCCATAATTATTTAAAAAAAAATCACATGGATTATAACCAGGGGTGAAAGTAACTTAAATTTCTTGCAGCTACTGTCCTATCACAACCTGACCTTAGGGCAGGGGTGAAGGTTTGCAATACATACATTTCTTCCAAGTGCTGTTGTATAGTGTGGAGTGGAGTGCGGAGGGTGCAGGGCAGAAGGCTGGGGTGTACCAGGGAGTGCAGAAGTTAGGGCAGGGAATGGGGGTCCAGGAGTCAGGGTTGGAGTGTATGAGGGACTCAGGCAGGGGATTGGAATGGGGTGGAGATATCGGGGTAACGGGGTAGGTGGTCAGGAAGTGGGGAATCGGGGCAGGGGGCTACAAGTGCGTGGGGGCTCAGAGCAGAGGGATACGGGGATGCACGATTCAGGGCAGAGAGCTGGGTGTGTGTTGGGTGAGTGCTGGGAAGAGCAAGGGTGCTATTTAGGGAGATGAGGGGCCTGCAACCACACACTTCCTCTGACTAGGGAGCTTCCTCTCACTCCCAGCTGCCGAGGCAGGGGCAGAGGAGGAATATAGCAGGCTTTGATTTTCCCTTGCACTCCCTAGTTAGAGGAAACAGGAAGCAGGAAAAACAACAGGTACCTCGTATGTGCGGCTACAGCCCCCCTAGCCCCTGAAATGGCGGCGGTGGGGGCGAACATGGCTCAGGACTGGAACAGTTCAGGGGGCACACCCCAGCCGATCCCTTAACCTGCCGGGGCATCCGCTTGCTGAGCATGGCAGCCTGCAGGAAGCTAGGGGTACCCCGACCTCCCACTGCAGCTGAGTGTTCCACCCAACTAGCCAGCTTCTTGCTGGAGCGCCACACCAGCGTGCACTGGCCCGATTGCAGTGGAATTGGTGTTAGTTCATTGGCGGTGGAGGAGGTGCTATGTGAGTAGAATGTGGGGAGTCTCTGCAGAAGTACATGGCCCCCTACACATTACAGGCACATTGTTCCTGCCCAGTAGCCTTTGGAAGCCTGGGCTGGTGTAGCCGCTGCTTCATGCATTGGCTGGGCATTTCCTCCCCCACCCAGG